AATTAACATTCATAAAATACTTAATGATCTTCAGGTGACAGCAGAGGTTTACTTTCAAATTCAAATCAGAAGCGATCCTGGGTTCACCAAGTGCCTTATTTACACAAATCTGAATAGCTGAAAGATATTTCTTGTATTTATAATAAGTTAACCTCTCTGTACAGAACTGACTTTCAAGAGACAGGCATTTACCTGCTTTATACAGACTATTTATGTAGGTCATGGAAACACCTTTCCTCACAAATGCTTGTGTTCATTTGATTAGTAATGAAAACACAGCAAACACCCATACTTAACATTTTAATCCCAGGTTCATTTATAAGATGTTTGAATTATGTATTATATATTACAAGAATGTGCTATCAGTTTTATGTGCTTACCTTCAGTACCTTCTAGGCAACAATCACTGCAAGCTCCTAACTAATAGAGCATAGAAGGTGGCTTTATCTCCCCCTCTCCTTTCTAGTTCTCAAGAATGAGTTGTGCTCAACTGAGAAGTTTGTGCTAAAGGGCTACTTATTAAAAACAAACAAGGATTCTTTAACTGCAAATTTCAATGTAACTCAATCTTTACTGGCAGAAACTTCAAGCACCGACTAGAAAAGATTGCCCTAAACCATAAATTGCTGCCCCAGGCCTCCCCCATACACTCGAGAAAATAATATGATGTTAAGATGGTGGAAATGGGAAGATTCTTCAGGAATCAAGATTCAAGCCTGCTAAGAACCAGAAATGAACAGTCTGTGAAATAACAATAATAATAATAAGAGGAAGGGCACGTGAGCTCAGGAAGCATTTCATACATCAAGACCTAACTGTGCTGCACGGCATTCTCATCTGCTGCTCTTATTCTGTTCCCTAACACAGTAACTCCACCCCCAGTAAAACTGAAATACCTTAGTTTTAGTGCCCTAGTGACAGCATTATGAAAGTGGGTTCTATTTTCTATAAAGCCTCATTTCATTTCCCTTCTTTAATGAATTAATTCAATAACATTTTCTTTGATACAAAGACACAGTTACCCCATTTCAATGCTCCACTTCTCCACTTTCAGGTCTTCAAGTGTAAGAGCCTCCAAACAATGAGCGAAGTCTTCTTTGCAGACTTCTCTCTTATCATCCCAACCTCAAGTCTCCTTCCTAAAAACTTCTGCTCTTCTAAGGCTCCTGGGAAGAACACATGGGTCACTTCATCCCTTACCCTCTTTTAACAGGGAGCAGAAAGTAATCCTGAAGAAGGGATGCAAGGGACCGATGCACTTCTCTTTTATCAGTTCTCAAAGAAGTAAAGAGATCTGACTTCTCTCATCCTCTCCTCTTCTAAGAAAAAAGGGTCTAGTGCCTTCTCAGATTATTGGTTTGAACAAGTCTACTATTTGCCAAATGGGCAGGCCTTTCAAGTTCTGAATCATTCCCATTTGTATAAAAGTATTTATCTGGCTCAATCATCACTCATTATTTGCCATTTTAGTGGAAAAGGAAGATGCATAATTTCTCATCTTCAGGAGACAGCAGCAATCACCATGGCATGTGGTGATTAACTAAAGATACTACATTTTTCACAGAAGAATTGCCTAAGTTAGCATGTTTCAAACTTGCAAGCCCATAAAAAGTATGTGAATAGTCAAACACCACACAAGAGCAAAGATTAGGCTGTGGGATGCTTTCATAAAACAATTACAGTCCTTGCTGTTTTCCTTTCCTGCCAGTCTTTCCTATCTCATGGTGTGTCTTAAGCTGGTTACTCAATTAAACCTGCCTAAACTCTGTAACTCTAACTTGGGAAGGAGTGGAGAGAGAAATATTCCCCGTTCTTGTGAGAAGCACATACAACTTCAGGGCTGTGAAAGGTTCACTTCACAATTCTGTGAAGCAGTCAGAAGTCTGAGAACTTACCTATAACTATTCATTGCATTTAAATATGCCAAATTTGGTACTTTGCTGTTACATTCAGTACTCTCCAGCTGCGATGCCAGTTCCACAGAGCCAGCGAAAGCAGCACTAGCCAGCACCATGATGTTCCATTGCAGCAGCTGCCTTCTGCATGGGGCTGGTCTGGAGGCTTTGTGGCAGCAAGTGGAACCCCAGGAGACTGTAAGGTGTACTGAACTGTAACACAGAAGCTTGGAGGCAGTCTCTGATCACACGTGCAGGGCCTTGCTCATAGCACAGCTCATACACAGTGATGCAGTGTAATGCTCTCACTTGCTCAGTGGGTAGAGCATGTGATAGAGCACACACATCACATTCCCTGGGTAACATGACTTTGAGATAAGGGCAACGGGGAAAAACTGGGCTGCCTCTCACAGGCTTCTTCTGAACTAAAAGAGATCAGGAAAACACCTGCACTGCAAAGCCTCAAAATGCCACAGTTATCAGCAAGTGTTCAAGAGTCAGTACAAGATTTCCTGTTTTCCTTCCTTAAAAGGAATCAGAAAATCTGTAGCCAAAATTCAAAGCTGCTGAGCAACAAGTGAATCAGCGCTGTGAAAGCAATAAAGGACAGGGGGAATTATTTACATCTGCTCTACAAAGAGTCAGTTTACTACAGACAACACTACTTGAGTGCTTCCCAATGCTATTTTTCCCTCAAGCAAATATAGTCTAAAGTAGATTTTCAAATTCCAGAACTAGCAATAACAATTATGAATGCAATAAATGAAAAAAAGAAGTGGCCCTTTAGAGATTCATGAAGTTCACTAAGAGAACAAGGAATTACCTTAGTTTTACAAATCACACTTAAGGGGGAAAAAAAAAAGGGGGGGGGAACATAATGGGTTCTAAATCACTAAAATCATTCAGAAGATGAAGGAAGATTGAACATAATGCCAAGCAGCACAAAAGCAGAAGGGAGACAACAGCAATTACGAAGTCAGAAGTTGGTATTTAAGCCATCAAATTCAAAACAACAAAAAAAATCACTTTCCCTGAACTAAGAGATCCTCTGTAAAAGAGGTCACCTAACCTAACTGTGATGACAGAAACACTAATCTAAGTGCTATTAACAAATTATGTGTTACTTTGAATTCAGAGAGCTAACAAAGAGGGCTGCAAGCAATGTGTTGAGAACCCAGACTTCATCATCTGAAGTGCTCCCAAAATTCTTCCTATGCTTCATGATGTGCGTGTTACCATGCAACATACGCGCTCCCAAAAAAGACACTCAGATGGAGTCAGTTTGTTCAAAAGAACTGGTCCACAATTCTGAATTAAATACTGAAGACAGATCCAATCCCTTCAAACAACACATTACTTTCTATATGCCAGACTTGAAGCTTTTGATCTATTTTGGGACATGCCTTCTAACAGCACTCTGATCTTTGTAGCTTGACAAACAATTTGCTTTTGTTCCAGAGTAACCCAGTGTAATTTAATGTTTTCCTTCTGATGTGTTCATCTAGCCCTTTCCATCTCTCATTGCATTTGAACTGGATTTTTGGTTTAATTCTATCATTCCATTTGCCTCTGTGAATTTTAAGAGAACACCTGGATTCAATATGAAGATTTTATCCAGCACAAGAACTTGCCGTGTGATGCTAACAGTATTTTGACAAGACAGGCACGTGATACTCTTCAAAGAGATGAAGAAATACCAGAAAAGCAGAAATATGCCATCAGAAAACCTGAAGGCATCCATTCGCAAGTCACATTGGTGATAAAGCTACCTTTAAGCAAAGCAAAGAAATATAAGCAATGTCTGGTGCTCTGAAAGCAAAAGAAGTTAAGGGTTGTTATATTATTTTTGTTCTGTTTTTTTTAATTAAAAAAAGTTAGAAAAGCTCCCTGGAAGAACTCCTGTGCAGCACAAGCAAAGCTGGGACCCAGCCCCTGACAGAGCATAGCAGCAGAGCAGGCAGCTCAGGCTGCAATCTGCCTCAGCACCCTCAGGCTCCCACCAGCAGGGCTCCATGCAGCACAGCCAAATCCCTCAGCTCAGTCACCCAGTTGGGCCAGCAGAGGGTGGAAGGAAGTAGTCCACAAATTAGGACTGAGCAAAGACCAAGCCACTTATCACTCTGTCCTCGCTAAATGGCCCATTTCACCTACAGCATTCCAGAAGATTGTTCAAGACCCTAACACACCTACCTAGCATTAGCTATGAACTGGTTCATTTTTAATTGCAATCAGCAGTGAACCTCTTTCCTACAGATACTTGTCAGTCCCTCACAATGCAGGAAGTGGCTTATGAGCTGTAGGAAATGGCTAAGTACCTGTTATCAGGCAGCCTTCCTGCGTGACCTCACCCCAATTGCTAATAAGCTAAACCCCTTACCATTTCTTAGCAAAAGCTTAAGTGCTTCAGCTTCCATTCACCCCAGCCTTAAGCTGCAAAACTGGAATAGCGTTACGCAAGGCTGAGTATTACAAGTTTCAAGAGGACTGGTTTATTGCTGCTTTGAGAAACAGCTGCAGAAAACCTCCTTTACATCCAAGAAGAAAGTGAGGCAGGGGGAGGAAGGCCCCTGGAATGCAAATGGCCCTGAACCAAGGAGCACTGGGTAATCTAAGAGGCTGAGACAACCGCCTCACAGCAACCTGCACAAGGTCACGCGGGTCACCTAGCCCCGAAGCCAACCCGAGCGCCCCCAGCCCGGTGCTCACATCTCGCTCCCTAGCGGTGGCAGCAGGCAGGGTGCCCCACCAGCCACATCTGATCACCGGCAGGTCTTCCGGAGCCACCGAGGTGTAAAGACAGCCCCCCAGCACCGCTCCTTCCACCCATCCATACAAACTATCGCTTCAAGACTTCAACCCACGCTACGATCAGGCGGACGGCCGTCAGCTACGGTAAAATAAAACAGCCAGCCGGAGTCAGGCAGGCTAGCAGAACCACGAGGGCTCTTTCCACCGCCGGACCAGCACTAAGGAGCAGCCCGCAGCCTAGGGCCTCCCCGATCTCCTCGAGAACACGGAGCGCCAATCCCACGGGATAAAGAAGCCTCTAAGCGAGGCGGCCTAGACTGGCCCCGCACCCACCGCCCGGCCGGGCCCCGCTCTCACCCCTTCATGGCGCGGCCTGCCCGTTCCCAGCGTCCCCGCTAGCAGCGCGCAGGGCCCGGCGACTCGATTCGGGCCTTCCCCCTCCTCCTCCACCGGCTCCTCGGGCCGGGCAGCGCGAGCGGCTCAGCCTCCCGCTCCCGGGACCGCTCCACATGGGCGGCCGCCGCCTCCTTCTCCTCCTTCTTCTTCTTCTTCTTCAACCGCCGCCCGCCCTCACGACCCCTCACCTCACGCCGTTGGCGCGCGCGCGCCCCGCCCCCGCCGCGCACGCGCCGCGCCGTTGGGCGCGTGCGCGGAGCGGTCGGGGCGCGAAGAGCGGCGTGGGTGAGGGGAGGGGAGGGCGGGGCTTTCGGTCACGTGGGGGCGCCGCGCGGAGTGAGGGGACGGCGCGTGCGCGCTGGGTCACCATCAGCTGATCCGCGGCCGCCGGCGCTGGAACGGAGGCGCCGCTTCGGTAAGCCGGCCGTAAGCGAGACCTATCGCTTCCCACTCTCGTTTAACGGGGTCGCGCCGCCGCTCGTCCCCGCCTTGGGTAGGTTGCGAGGAGTCGGGCGCTCGCTAAAGGGGTCACCTCGTCTCCTCCAGCGGTCATTAACGGGCGCGGTGGGGAGGGGAAGCGGCGCTGTGCTCATTGAAGGGTGCGTGCGCGGCCCTGGCCGCCGCCGTGCTGCCGGGCTGCGCCGTCGCTGTCCGGCCGCGGGATGGGATCTGTCCGTGGGAGAGGCCTCTGCGCCTTGACCTTCAGCTCCCGCCCCGCCTGCCTGCGGCATGATGGCAGCTGGGGAACGCCGGATTTTGCGACGAGGAGCTTTCTGAGCTCTCTGGCGTAGGCCTCGCCAGATATCCCCGCGCTGTGTCACGAACCGCTTTCTGTGCGCTCTCTGCCCGCTGTCTGGGATGGGCGAAGCCGATCCTTGCCTCGCCTTGAGCGCTGCGGCGAACGGAGGGTTGTGGGACAGGCATGGCGCTCCCGCCGGGGCTGCTGGCGGCGTTTCCCCAGTGACAGCTTTCAGCTGAATGTGCTGTGGCGAATCCCGTGCGTTTCCCATTCCTGTAGGCGGTGGTGAAGCCCGAATTTAAACGGGATGTTCCAGTTGTCGCCCCTACGATCCTTCCTCGTCTTTACGTGAATTTTAGTGACTGCATTCTGGGGAATACGGTTGGCTTATGTGCCAGCGTATGACATACGTGGTTCAGGTTCTATCCCTTCACTGCAGTTGCCCGAAGTGATTTTCCCCTCTGTTTTTACCAGGCTCCATTGATGTGAGAATTTGCGCTCTGCTTGGAATAATCTAGTTGGTGATACTTTTATTCACTGTAACGTGATACTTCAGCAAAGTATCCGGGCTGTTTGATCCGTCTCAGCATTTCAAATGAGAATAGCTCTTGAGGAAGCAAAGGCAAACTGACTGGCAGCATGCTGGAGGTGGTTTATTGATCCACCCATCTGTGGCACCTGAGTGAGGATGTGGCAAACGTAGGTTGGCACAGGCGAGGGCAGATAACTGCAAGGCAGATCCTTAACACCTTTTGTGAGTTGCTGTGTTTGTGCTGACTTTGACGCTGCAGAATCCACAGTAGATGGATGTTTGGCTTCTCTATGCTGTAGTTTTAAAGGTGTTTACAATCACTCATATTTAATATCTGCACTTCTGCTTAAGAATATGTTAGTTGAGATCAGCGTGAATAGATCTTTGAATGACCAAAAACGTTGCAGGTAACTTTTCACTGTGTTTTTCAGTACCTTATGTTAAATCTTCTTGAAAACTGTTGTTTGTATGGTGGAAAAAGCATTTTATAATAAGGGACAAAGCCTGGCATTAATGATAAACACCAGCATTAGTTTGAGAGCATAGGGAAGGAAAATTAAGACAAGACTGGAAAATGTCTGCCAGTATCAGCTGACTCTTCAAATGGGGGTTGAAGTCTCGTGTTGCAATAGTAACACAAGATCTTAGTTTCCTATAAATACAGTATTTCCATTTTCCATATCTGTTTTCTACAAATAGTGCTACTATTAAGGTTCACCCCAAGCAAATAGTACTAGCTTAATTTTCATTTAGTGTTAGCATAAATGTAGCTTTTACTTTGATCTAAATATATCTTAACTGTTTTACACCTCATTCATCCAGACTTGCATGGCCTGTAGGCTTCAGTGTGCTTCCATGTCTTATTTGTTTCCCAGTGTTGCTTTGTGTGTTTATCTTCCAGATGCACACGGGCACTATACCACATGTTGTCATCCAAAGGATCTGTACACCAGCAAATTGCTAGATTATTCCCCTAGAGATGTATTCAGATGCTCTGTGCTTCTCCCCTTGTGTTCTGATACCGTGATTCTGTCTCTTTGAGTTTCAGTCTTACCAAAACTCCCTTATATTTCTAAATTGCTTGTGCTGAAGGTGTGTTTGTAATTAGATGTCCCCAATTTTTTAAAAAAGTATAAAAGGGTTACAGGATAACCTAGCTGATCTGTTCAATTACTTTGGTGCTAACAAAAAAAAGTGTTTGACGCTATTGCTTGTCAGTAATAGTTACTCTTCATTATTTATTTGTTTTTAACTACACTGCCTGGAAAAGTGGTAGCACTTACCTAGCAGTTAGCACAAAGAACTAAAATAGATTTTCTTTCCCTGCCACGTGTAACATTAACACAAAGAAAAGTGTTTTCTTTAGACTCGGAAGCGTTGAGAATGTCATCCACATGATTTTTTTTAGAATGGAACACTATCAAAGACAGCAGATGATGTTCTCAGCTGGAATATCATGCTTGTTCACTATTACTCACTGTCCTCAGGCATGTGACTTTTTCAGCCTTCCAACAGGAGAGAGAGAAATGGAAATCTCGTCCAACACATGAAGTTAAATGATTCAACTTGTTCTGTTTGTACAGAGGCTAAGCTAGTTTTGCAGGACGTGATTGCCTGTAAATACAGTGTGCAGAACTGGCTTAATTTGAATCTTCTGGGTGCCATGAGAGCAACTTTTATGCTCTGAGAAAGTGTTTTTGTTGTTCCCCTCCTTTTGAAAATGGAAAGCTAAGCTTATATTAAGTTAATAGGTTTGGCTGTACCTCATGGCAGTAAGTTCTACAACCTGCATCAAGTGTTTTTGGTTTGGTTACCTTATATAATCTACACGTTTATGTCTCTTGTTTCTGTCAAGTTCTCCCAAAGTTGAACACCCCTTACTTCTTTTTTAAAAAAAAAAAAAGACCATTTGTTTCTAGCTTTTTAGACTTCTGTATATAATCTAGCTGCTCTGTTGCAGCATCATTTCTTTACTAAAATGACACACTTATTCTGAAAACTAAGATACATACCAATAAATCCTGACAGTCATTATCTAGCAGCCTTTATTACTATTACTTAACCAAATGACACGTGAAGATCAGTCTTAGCTGCTGAATTTGTTTTCTGAGCTCATCAGCTTGTTTACTACTCTGAGCTTATCTAATGGTAAGTTTCAGAGTTCCTTACCACTAGAACTAGCTTGTCTAACAGTGATCTAATGCAGGCAAGGTAGCTACTGATGGTTTCTTTTGTCCTAGTTTACAGAATTTTGAGGGTTTACTGTGGATTTCCTAAAATATTATTATCAGGAAGTACTAAAGCCATCATGACCATATGTCTGTAACACTGGGCTTTTTGTGTTAGCATTTGCTTCTTTGCATTCCTGAGAAAAGTAGTCTTGAAAGCCATCACTACGTCTTGTAACAACTGGGATTTTTCCTTCTAAACTGGTAAGTGAATTAAAACTTATGCTGAAGGTATCCCTGTTGCGGATGCAAGCTCTTAAGGGACAGGTGTGTTCCTAGAAGGCATCTCTATGATGTGGAATTCTTTGACCTTGTTAAAATTAGTTGAAAACCATACGTGCTGTACAGATTCTTGGGGCCTAGTTGAAATTTTGGTGTGCTGGTGAGTTCCAGGGAACCATTTAGTTCCACTATCTCTTCCTGACAGCCTGCATCCTAAGAAAATTGCAGAAATCTGTGCTGTTGAAGATGCAGTGTTCCACTCATTGGGTTGCATCTTTAACATGCTGTAAGCTCTGCTGACTTGCTTGAGCTGCTGTTGTTTAAGACCGCATAAAAGACTGGTAGTCTGTATATTTCTGACACTGGCCAGCATACTGTGCCCTGAACATGTACCAGAGTGCTCTGTGGTTGTGATGGTTAAGTCTGAGGAGGGATGGAAAGGTTATAAATAAAGGTATTAGATCTGTAGACAGAGAATTGTTCCTTTGTAAAAGTAGTTTATTATAGCTGGATAAAAACTGTGAAGTGTGCAAGTTTCCTTTAAGAGCCTGAAGAATTACTTGCTTTCTTTTTTATATTTTAGCAAATGCCTCTTCCAAAAAGCTCAATTAATGAGACAAACATTTGCCCCTTCTCATCATTATATTATTATTCCCTTTCTTACTGTGAAGGCACTACCTTAAAAAGCAGCTCTTCAGGAAGACTAAAATGGTATTTCTTGGCTAAATGCAGATAACACTGATAAGCAGCTTTTACTTTTAAAAATTAGTTCTGTTATTTTCTCTGTTAGTTCTGAATTTTCTCTAGCTCCATGAGATCTTAGAGGTTTTAGTATCATGGGATAAATCTGAATCAAGTAATAGATACTCAGACAGCTGCTGCAATATAGAGTTTACATTGGAGGGGCTCTGGCTAGTCTGAAAAAACTGTAAATGTTTCAGGTAATTGAACATAAAATCTCCAAATGTGGTTTAACTTGCCTTTAAGTATAAAAATGAAGTTTTCCATTACAGGAAAAGTCAACCTCAATTTCATTTCCTTTTACTGGAATTCCATGCCTGTCTGTGTTGTGATTCCAGCCAGGTGTTTCATTATACCAAAGTGCTGTAAAAGAGTAGTTCTATCTGCTAGGTGTATTAGATCTTTCTTAAAGGCTTTTGCACAAAATCATTCCTGGTCCAACTCTTCAAGCTAGCTAGTTTGTCAAATACTTCACGTAATAAAATGAAGATTCCGTAATATCCCTACTTTCCATTTAACTTTCAGAGCAGTCTTCAGTGATGAAATGATTATTGTGAAGTTAGGATCAGCATTTTGGCTATCACATTTAGGGATGAGAGGTTAGATGGTAGTGAGGCTCACAGAGGAGCAGGTATGTTTTAACAAGCCCAATTTGCCAATATTTTTCTGCATGTAAAACTGACCCCAACTGTAAGCCCAGCTTACAGTTTTGTAAGATTGTACACTTTTTGTTCTGTAAACTAAGAATCT